CAGGCTGGGTTTCGGGCCGGTCGTGGGTGCATCGATCAAATCTTCATCCTCCGACAGCTGCTAGAGCACCGTCATGCTTATCAAAGACCGACGATCATTGTGTTCTAGACATTCGCACGGCCTTCCACTCTGTCGATAGGACCGTACTATGGAACTGTTTGTTGAGGAATGGAGTTCCTGAGAAGTATGTGTCGATCCTCAAAGAGTTGTATCGTCATACCTTAGATCGGGTTAGGGCCTATGGCCAACTTTCATTACCCTTCGTCGTCTCCAATGGAGTTCGACAAGGCTGCTCTTTATCCCCATTCCTTTTCAACTTTGTCATAGAGGATGTTCTACAGAACGCTTTGTCCGGTCTACCAAACGGTGGAATCAAGCTCCTCCCAGGGAACAGAGTCCTTAACTTAAAATATGCCGGTGACATCGCCTTGTTGGGTGACAATACACAGACTGTCCAGGAAGCTTTGAACCGCTTGGAGATAGAGGTATGGTATGTGCTTTGCACCTTCCAAGTGCAAAGCAAGTATAAAAACTTGTGCTAAATCCAAAACTCGTCATTCATTCATTCGCAGCCAAACAAAGAAATGGATAGAGCGAAGAAACTTTTCCTGGCGGGAGTACAGAAGATGGCCATGACATCCGATTGTCCCTTAAGGGAAGGGTGTACATCGCCGCAGTTCTCAGCGTTCTGCTTTACGATTGCGAGACCTGGCCTCTCCGAGCGGAGGATGCTAATCGACTTTCTGTGTTTGACCACCGATGTCTCCGAAGCATTGCTCGTGTCTGGTGGGAACACTGGGTGAGCAATGACGAGGTTCATCGTCGTGTGTTGGGTGCGGATAGTCGCTCTCTAACAAAAGTAATCGCTCTACACCGCCTAAGATGGCTTGGTCACGTATTGCGTATGCCTGCCCATCGACTACCTTTCCGTGCTCTGGCTGGAAACAACACCGATAAAATGTTTTTATCTACCTAACGGATATAAATAAAAATCACTTTCATTTAACTATTGTAGCGCGTATTATTGAACTGAATGGTTGACCAAGAGTGCGGATGGAAGACAGAACGAGAACAAGACAAGATAGACAGACGTACCACAAAAGAAAGCCACCGATTCGGCAACACTGGTCAACAGGATGGACGGTCCCACACGACCGAGTGTTCGACCGACGCGAGCGGCCACAATCGCACGAATAGTCTGTGTGAGATTCGGATGCGGATGCAACGGCACATCATCTCCGACTTGTGAAGCCCAATCCGGATTGGATCGTCCCACCGCACAGTTCTGACGACGTTCCTCGGAGCACAGAATCTGGTCCGCTTCTTGTTCATCAAATTCGAAATCGTGTACCAGGATAAAAATATTGTCCACACCGACAGCCAAAACCAGAAACGGGATCACTTCAATAATGATCAGTGTGGCCGGTGTGCCCACATAGCTCCACATGCCAACCGAGGAGACCACGGATAGGATCACAATCAGAACACCGCCCAGACCGAGAGTGATGCGCAAGTCCACCTGAAATACAGATCAATGGAGGTGATGAACGTGTGGACAGATTCGGTATTGTTGTGAAATGTGTGAATAAATAAAACCTAATTTGGGATCAAGTAAAAGTTGAAAGAGTGATCGGAAAATGGACTGAGTCATGATCCTGGGAGAGGATACTCGAATGGGTCTAGATGATCATAATGATTCGAACCGATTGAATGAGTGCTACGTTTGTATACAGACTAGGGTTGGCTACACTACGACTCTCATGCGGTGAGGACACGTGATAGAAAACCGGGAAACTTTTTCACTTGAAACAGCAAATGCAAGGAAGTGGACATTTTGCTTGAAACAAAAAATTAGGTTGGAACAAAGAAAAACGTCGATTTTCTGGTTCTTCGGTTACTGGCTTCTTCACACCGTTCTCAGTTGTCACCGAATCCACCTTTCTATTTTCTTTATTACACACCTAGGTGTGATGAACAGCAGACAAAGCGAACCCCATAGTCACGAGGACCTGCTGTTCAGTGATTGAAATCGGCAACCTAAGCCCCGGCGAACCACATAAGGCCCCGATAAGTTAGATGTGGCATTGAAGTGGACGACAGCAGAACTGCCTACCACCAAAGTCGGGTGGCGGGGTTCGAACCTCGGACCATAGGGTCCAAAGCACGCCGGTGACAGCGACTAAACCACTGCGCCACCACCATTACGGTCGGTGCGCATACATGTTCGCAAATCAGTGATGAATGTGACTAGGAAATGAACAATTGTGCCATGCCAACCGCGTTGTTTAGTGATGAATGGGAGGTAAAAGCCCTACGAACAAGACGAACTACTGTTTGGTAATGGTACGAAGCGATAAGGAACTTGGTGTGCCGTAGTAAACAGAGCCTCAAATTGACGGACACGGTCTTAAGCTGAGTGACCGTAATGCTATCATGCTATCATAACAGTCGGGTGGCGATGGCGGGGTTCAATCTTCCGCCCTTAGGACTCGGAATATTAAATGATCGGTTCAGATTTCCAAAATCAACCAGGCCACTGCGGAGGAATGTAAAGCTATGAATATGTTTAATTTAGTCCGGCTTCGAACTGTGTCCATTAATACAATAGTTGGAGTTCGATAGTGCTATTCCTCCTAGGCTTCTGTACCGCATTCCGTTCAACACTCGGAGCCGGTACGTGTGAACTTGATGAGAACACGGTATCGGAAAGTATGGAATCAATTTATAACCGAGATTAGATATGCCCAATCGGTACATGATATAGATTTGATGGAATTCATTCAGAATCTATCTTCGAGCATAATTCTCAGCTGATCAATTCTCAACCAATCAACCACACATACACTTCGTACTAAGCGAACTGAGGATTGTACGCGAAAATAACACCTGAAAGACGATCGGATAAAGCTCATATCACAAAACAAATAAAGTGGAAATGAAAATGCCTACTAAATAATATCATTGAACATCGTGAGTAACATGGTTAATGTAGTCTCACCACTCAAGCTTACTATAAATCCATATTTCTCTCGCATTCCTTATATAGTTTTGTCCACTTAACTTTAGCTTCTCGTCTTTTTGTATCCTTTAGGTGACACTCAATGATTTTTATATTCTCCTATTTTCTTTTTCATGCTTTTATTGAATACACAAAAATACAACTTTCCGGAAGGGGGAAATCGGCCAATCAAAGGGCTGCCATCCAACACACGCACAGTGCGGAGAGTCAGGCGGTGATGGTGGTAGGATTTGAACACTGGTCCTCCGGGGTGATAGTTTACTGACGTTATCACCACGGCTCGGTGAATCTCCTCTTCACGGGAAGTGCCCGTAATGACTTGATTTGCTCTGCACCCTAACGAACTAAGAAAAAAAAACCGCACGAGTTCGTGACATGGATCAACACGAATGGTTGGGTTTTTTTGTTCGCATCGGTCGAGTTCAACTTTGGAGACACTGTGATTGCAGTTGAGGGAATAACACACAGGACAAATTGAAGTAACTTACAAAAAGAGTTCGGCAACTCCGATAAGAAGCCAAGAAAATGCTCACATAGACGAACATGACCAGATAGCTGATGAGCACGATCAGGATATCGGCATCTGACTGACGATTGATTTCATCTTCCACGGATCGCTAGGAAATAAGTGGAAGTGGGAGAGACAAGTGTGGAATGTGTGCCCGTGTGTGTGTACATACATTCTTACATATAAAACATCATGTCACAAACTGTTCTGGAATGACAATGCCAGCGATTGTGGTATGAAAACGGAATTCCTCNTTCCTCACATCAATATATTTGAATGAAAGACATGAATACCACATTGGGTTTAATTGGAATACATCTGCTGGCAATCTACTGGTGTGCGTCTCACATAACGCGATTGCTGTCACGTTCGGATCAATTTGACGCTGCTTTCAAATATCAAATATGCTCTCTACTTCTTCATTTATATGGGCAGCCGAAGACAGTAGCCAAAACAGCAGCACGAAATCGGATAGTTAACGATTGGTTCAAATAGACTAAGCTGAACATAGACCCGTGTTTGATGGTACTCAGCAGAGCTCGAAGTAGTGGTGGTGGCGCAGTGGTTTAGTCGCTGTCACCGGCGTGCTTTGGACCCTATGGTCCGAGGCTCGAACCCCGCCACCCGACTTTGGTGGTAGGCAGTTCTGCTGTCGTCCACTTCAATGCCACATCTAGCCTATCGGAGCCTTATGTGGTTCGCCACTCCAAGTGCCGGGGCTTAGGTTACCGGTTTCCATAACGGAGCAACAGGTCTTCGTAACTATGGGGTTCGCCACGACTGCTGTTCACCGCATGATGTGTGTAATAAAAAAATGAACTTGGACCTCCATTGGATAACAGTCTGGGGGTTCGGGTAACTGTACACCACTATTCAACAATCGCACGGGATGGCCATTGTCTTATATGAACTCAAACAGATTGGTTTACCATTTTTTCATCCCGGATCCTGATTCACATCTGCTCAACGTCACCCAGTGAAATGAAACCCGTGAGCAATCAAGTCATATTTTCTTGTCGATCATGTTCAGTAAATCATCATTCACCAAGTCGATATAGCCCAATGCTGACTTTCTTCGCGAAATCCTTAGTGATACAGATCTTGATTTCAATCAAAATCGAGAGAATTCAACACCACCCATCGCCCTTGTGGCTTTGGTTTGACCTATCCTATTCTTATTACAGCCAAACCAGAGGTGAGTGAAACGACAGAGGTATGGAAGTTCGATCAATGGAACGAAATTGTGCTGCTGTCTAAATTCGGTAGATCCATGAGTGAATGGATTACCAATAGGAACGAGAGGGGAGATAAGCATCCATGTTATAAATTAGCCGTCTGCATATAACTCAGCAATATCAAATTTGATACCGGATAATGCTGCTTACACAACCGGGTGTTTATGATACCCGTTCCCATCGCTTCGGTAATGATGATGATATAACTCGTGTATAATATTTTGGTTTGATTTGTGAGCGTTGCTAAAAACAATCGTGAACACAGTCTGCGGATCATTCCCGTTTCGGCTGTCGATCAGATATTACAAGGCTGAGTTACTAATGGTCCTAACGATTCCTTTTTGAGAAGGGAAGCCAGGCAATTTTGCGATAATCGATAAGGCAAACTATGCCTCATACGAGAACACTTATAATGCCGACGACAGGAAGAGACGACGGGGAAAAGTGAATAAGTCAATCGTCATTATTTGTTCGCTAGTTGGACAGAGCACAACAAACGCCTAGGCAAGCCTACAACGAGCTGTTTTCTAACCTGCGGGTTGAAATCATGTCCAATCAGAATCACACTGGAGCTTCGGATCAACCGAATGAGTTAGGTGGAATAGTCTTAGAAATTGTCCTTGTGCATCTTGACTGCAGCTAGTGTGGCGCATCTGCTGAGATGATGAACAAACGCTTTTTGGTGTTGTTTCCCTTCCGGATGCTGATTAAAATTTGGTGCCACACCGCACATAAACACTTGCCGACGGGGATTCAATTTATAAATGATGCTTCAACCGTATTAATGAGAACAATCCACGCTGACCTAGTCAACGGAACTCGTGATGTGACACCTGATGTGTGAAGAAAGTACCTCGAGGAGTAACCCGGCACACTTAAGCACAATATAGTACTGAGATCTTGAATTCGCGTCTGCAAAACGCAGTAGACACCAGTTCATAAAAAGCCCACAGTACACTCAACACACTTGTTGACCCTTTTGCATGAGAGTCACAACGCTGAAAGACCTCAGATAGAGAGATTAAGAGGACTTTTGAATCTACAATTGAACTGGTTTCAATTTTCAGTTGATACAACCATTAATCATTAACTTTCGTGCGCCGGTTTTGGTTGCTGTCTTTTGGCTATCCATCTGGATGAACATTAGGAAAAAGACAGGAAAGGCTGAAAGTAGGATCAAAGAGAATTACAATTTCAGTGGACTAATGTTGCATAAAAATTGGGAAGATGTACAAACGCCACTGTCTCTAACCATCGGGTACGACCATCTCGAGGTCCCCATCCGGGGAGCCTAACGGGACCTATGTGACCGCGTCTCCTCGTTAGGGTTTTCATACCCTCGTGGCAGATCTTAGCTTGACCACCGTTGACTTTATTCCAGCCACCACCTGCCTCGGTAAACATTGCTCTCCGTGGCAACCTATTTGGTGACATGCGCAACACATGTCCCAAAAAACGTAATCTCTGATGGTCGAACCTTTGCACCAGTGGACGACCACGATTACCTAAAACTATACGCCTAACCTCAGCATTGCTCATTCGGCTGCCCCACCAGATTGGTGCAATGCTGTAGTGTTCAAACACCGATAGTCTATCTTTATCCTGTTTTGTTATTGATATGGTGGTAAATTACCGACAGTTTTACCAGTGAAACGTTATCTGATAGAATGTTAAGATCCCAGTGAGCGACAAGAAACGGTTAGGGAGGTTGTACAAAGAATTAAACCAAGATTAGGATGTAGCTTACTTATCCTCAACCAACGCACTCGATACAGTGAGGTTTAGATTATAGCGCGTGACGACCCCACACAGCATTATGAAATTGATCAAAATTTGTGTACGTGCATTTAAGTTTTAATGGACGGTTAGTTTTTATAGGTCGAACAACCAAGCAGGAGATCGACAAGGGGTTCTTAAGCGTAGCCGTTAGTTTTGTCAAGAACCAAGTTGCAAGTCAGTGTGTGGAGCGAAGTGGAGGATCATTTATTTGGATCGATTGCTTTTATATCATTGGTTTCTCGGCTAATATACAAACTTGAGTCTAATCCCCAATCAGCAAACTGGACTTTGTATGATCTCTATGATCTAACCATTCCGGTATGGTAGTAAGAACATCCTTTGGTTTGACGAAAACCATCGTGTATGTAGCCCATTGGTCAATGCGGAGCACAAACTATCGCTAAGTCAAGGTGCAGTCGCTTTGTTTTATGCCGTAATCGGATAAATCCAAGAATTTGTATATTTGTATATTATTTACAATGGTAGGCTAATGGCGTTTTGAGCTGCTCATTTGATCGGACAGAACCCGTTGAAATCTCCAGCATTTTGTACATCAAATCCTCAAATTCCGTGTCTATTTCAACCTGATGGTATTTAGGTCATGGTACAACACCTGATATAGGACGCAGATGGTAACGTTCTAAGTTTCACAGACGACGTATGGTTATTAACATAGGGATATGGAATTTCGAGAAATTTCTTTATATTCCCGTTTTGTTTTCATTCATTCATACGACGAGGGGAGTATTGAAATCAGTATCGGAATACACAAACCGTTCGTGACTGCGAAAAAGTCTCTGAAGCGACGCGTGAAGACCACATCAGTCAATTGGGCGATCAAGGTGGGGATCGTGCATTGAGAAGAGCACGAGAAACAGAGCAACAACAAAAAAAAGAAAGATTTCACTAACCTCAGCCTGGAAAGATACAATTACAGTTTCACTATGATTCCGTGCCCATTCGTTCACAGTCCGAATGTATTCAGATTCCCATAATTCGGCTTTCTTCACCTGGGGTGATCTCGGATCCGGATTGTTGTTCACGAGAAAGGTCAACACGATACAAGTGGATTCATTGTAGTTTTTTCCTGTGAAGATAAAATCCATTGAAAATAATATTATCATTGCGAGACCAGAAGCATACCGACTGAACGAAAAAAAAATTGAAAACGCACTACTTATCTATCATATAGGTGCGTTACCGATTCGTGAGTGTGGGAATAGAAACTACACAGATATACATGTGAATGAGAGCGTTCTTGTTCGACTCGACCAAGGTTTTTCTTATGCCCTTAGGCCAGGTCATGATGTGACCAACCTCAATCCTAAGCAAACCACAATTTGTCGTCTGTCTCCGTCAAAACATCACACACACACACACAGAGGAGGAGAGAAAGCCAATCCAGTGACATGCGTAAAACATTCGAATGGCCAAAACCGGTCGTGCGCTGCTGTGAAATCTTGCCTACTGATTCACATATTACTCGTAATTTGAAAAAAAATAAACACAATGTAAAGCAGCCAACTGGACGTTGGCTGAGACTGATCACATCAAACTAACAACACATAATATGGGATCATCGCAAGGATTCGTCCAGGCTTGTTTGTCTGATGATCAACTAGCATCGCAGCAGCATACGAGATTTGCATTGCCCGATTCACATCGGTCAAATAGTCCACCAAGAAATGATACCACGTCGAACCGACAAAACCTCGTGTTCGAATTGGACTAGCGATCAATTCAGCAACGTGAGCATGCAAGGCGCACGATTTGCAATAAGGATCAAACAATAACACGACGATCGGATTCCCAATTGCTTTCGGGGTCCGGGGGGTAGGGTGGATAGAATTGCATACGTGAACGAAAAAAACTGCTCCGATAACTCCGAGGACTTCTTCTTACCTTTAAATCCACCCAATGCGATTGTTGGTTGAACCGGGATACCGGATGAGGCCAAACAACTGACTTCGCTGTTTGGCAAAGAACTATTGACAGACATGGGAGCATTCGCACAGAACATCAAATGATCCAAATAATCGGCTATGATTAAATCAAACATATCTCGTGCCTGTTTTGTCGTGAAGCGGAGCGGAGCGGGGGGGGNCGAAAAAAAAAACGATTGCAGCTTGTGCCAAAGTGACCAGCTCAAACAAAAATACACGAAAAGTTCATATAACTTTGAAAACACATTTCACATATAAAAGACAGCCGTTTGGAGTAAATGAATAGGAGTTTTAATAAAAGTATGGTTATGTTCAACTCAACATCATCATTGTCTGCCACTTTTTATTACACAGGAACGAATGCAGTAAAAGGGGTAAACCCCATAATCCATATTGTACATGAGATGGAAAAAAACATTGAAGCTAGAGTCATTTCGTTGATTCTGAGTTTAAAAATAAGTTGGAGGAAAGACTGACATGGGGAAAGTGTTTCACAGATGTGTTGTTCGAATTTAACTCACAGTTAATTGTGAAGTGTGTGTGGGATGATCGATATTGATTGATTTGACTGACTATCCTTCGGAATTCACCTTCACGCACACTCCTCAGNTCAGTTCATCAATTCAACCATACACTCGGAAGCACTAGACTCGAGTTTAGCTCTTATTAGAGCTCATCAGTAGTGCATATCCACCGTTTTGTCCGGGATTTGAACTCCGGACCCATAGCATGGAAGGCGTGTGCGTTACTACTGCGCCAACCAGCTCATGCCCTGGCTGAATCATATTGCCAATTCATGTTTGTTCACGTGTTCTCTTCAATGATACTCAGTCAGTTCATTTGCCCGACAGCAACGAAAAGAAAGGTACAACCTGTTAACTCTTGGGAAAAATGTTGACTGAGAGTTGGAAATACAACGCTTTGTGGATAGTCACTCGTAACTGATAGCTCGCCTTTTGTGTACAGGACCTACCAGGAAGAACAAATGGTAGACGGACAGAAGAGCCAAGTTCAGTAGAGCAAAATCCAAAATACTATTGATAGAAAAAGGGTAAGGAAGCGACCGCTTGACGATGAGCTAGTGACCGCAAGTTACACATTAGGGACGGGTTGTTGATGAAACAAACGACCTTACGTTGAACCCGATCGAGAAGAGACAGCGAGGTGAACGAAGCTCCACTCCCGTAAATGACGA